TAGCCAAACCTCAAGGGCCAATGCTATGACATCCACAAGCTAAATCTTGAAAGTATGCACTGCCAAGTGCCAAGTCACAGCCTTGCATAACTTGTACATGGTTGCTACAATTGGGCTACAATTTTGTATATCCAATGCAATAGTGGCACTCAACTTGGGGGACCCTCTAGAATGACAGGGTGAGTCTATTTTACAGAAGGAAGCAGTAGAAGAGAGGCAGACTATGGCTACCCACACCATCTAGGAGATGAATGGGAATCTCCTTTGAAAAAGATAGACAAAAAGAAAAGAAAGGGGAATTGAAGACTTTTGGCATGTTTTTATGAGTCTGGATCACAAACAAGAAGCATTTCTGTGGACTTTCCTGTTATTTTATCCTGAATCTTTATTGAAGAGATTGATGTTTATTATATGGACACAGAATATTTTTTTTTGGTATGTTTAATTACACAATTGTTAATATGTTGTTTGTAATGTAAGAGAATAAATAGTGAGTGCTGATCAAAAACACAGGCACATTATTTTACTGGTTTAGATTCAAAGAACAGTAAATGGAGATAGAAATAAGAGTTAGGGAATAATAGGGCACAGAGTTGGGAAACAATATTTTCTTTAATTACCAATATGTTGATGTGCAGTTTAGTCTCTTTCTTTGTTCACCAGACCTGTAACTGGTGAGCAGAGGATGCTTCTCCTACCAGAGAGGCCGGTGTAGTAGATTCTAAAGAGATTCTACTACCAAAGATACTAATGGCCTTGCAGCATCATTAGGCACTGAAACCACTATAGCAGAGACAGCTTGGTTTGAGGCAAGAAGCTCGCAGTACCCCAACATGATCAGTATGTTGTATATATAATAATATATAAAAGCATGAATAATGTGATTTACCTAGCGTATTTGACACCCAGGGCAGATACTGTTTTAAAACCAACAGATCTTTAACACAAAATTATCTTACACAATAACCATGAAATTAAAAACAATAATGGCTAGAACAAAAACAGTGGAAATTGTAGTGCCCGCTTCCATTGGTAGTCAGTAGAAAAGTGCCTTGTCACATGGTAGTCAGCATAGTGGTCCATTATATTGATGGCTGTCAGTGCTCCTAAGCACTCTCCTAGCTACCGCGATTGTATTGTGTAGGAGTGGGTGTTGTTTGACCGCAGGAGGCATAGGGGAGGCCAGCCACGGAAGACCCTCTATAGAGAATTGGTAGATCTCTTTTTCCATAGCCACCCATTGTTTTACAGTGCCGTGAACACACCAGTTCAAGAGCCTGTTTAACTGGGAGGCCTTGTAATAGGAGTGGAAATCGGGAAGGCCAACCCCGCCCATCGACTTGGGGAGGGATAGAATGCGTCTGCCAATACGGGGAGAGCTATCCCCCCATATGAATGATATACACTCCGAATGTATTTGGCGGGAAAAGTGGGGGGCAGTCTAATAGGAATGGCTTGGAGAAGGTACAGCATTCGAGGCAGCACAGTCATCTTCAGGGAGTTACACCTGCCGAAGCAGGAGAGTGAAAAGGCTCTCCAGCAACGGAGGTCCTGTTTGAGCTTGCGCAAGAAGGGTGTGTAATTGGCGTCCAAGAGATCTGAGAGATCAGGAATGATTTGGGTCCCCAAGTATTTAAGGCTGCAGTCTTCCCAACCGAAAGGGAGGGATAGTTGGAGCCGTGGGATCGAGGCTTCGGGTAGGGAAACATTAAGCGCGGACGACTTAGAATAATTTTGAAGTTGGAGAGGGTGCCATACATGGAGAGAATGTCCATCCGACAGGGTCAAGAAGATTCTGGGTCGGTGACGAAAAAGATAAGATCATCGGCGTAGGCCGCTAGTTTGTGGGAGCCAAACGGCATCGACAGTCCAGGGAAGGCATGAGAGAACCGCACTGTTTAAGAGGGGTTCAAGGGAGAGGGCAAAAATGAGGGGGGATAAAGGGCATCCCTGATGGGTTCCGTTGGTCAGAGAAAAGTATATTGATTTGGTCTCATTAACTGTTAGAGCGGCCATGGGGGAGGAATACAAAGTATCCATGACAACATATTAGGACCCTGTCCTATGTGATGTAAGGTAGCCCGCATGAATCCCCTAATATTCCGTGTCAGTCGACAGTAATATTAGGGGCATCGAGTGGGTTCGGGCATATTGGATGACATTAAGAACCCTGGTTATATTGTCCCTAGCCTCCCTGTCAGGGATGAAGCCCACTTGGTCATAGTGAATAAGTGTGGGTAGGCATGGGAGGAGTCTGTTCGCTAGAATTTTGGCAAACAATTTCAGTTCTGCGTTGAGAAGCGCTATTGGGCGGTAGCTACCACATTGAGCTGGGTCCTGCCAATGTGAATCTGCCAGGGCTCTGGGTTTTACCAGCGGAGGATTGCTTTACCGCTCGGGACAATTCCTCCTCGGTGATTGGGGATTCCATCTGATTCCTGTCGGCCGCCGAGAGGGAAGGCATCCCACCCAGACCTGAGACTATTGGTCTATTGGTCGATTTTCTCGGTCTTTGTGGATCTTAAGAATAATATAGAAAGTTGGTACATTGAACCACTCTACCTTCATAAATCTGTACTCTTTAGAATAAATTAGACCCGCCACTTTTGCAAGTTCTAACTTAAAATTGAGATTGTATTTCATTCTATCAAAAGGTGATTTATCCAGCTTAGTATAGGTGTTGCCATCTCCTAATAGGAGTTTTACTTCCCTCACATATTTCCTCTGATAGCAAAACTACATTGCCACCTTTGTCACTTGATGTTATCACTAAATTTAAAGTATTTTTTAATTCAATAAGGGCTTTTCTTTCTTCTCTAGATAAATTATCTCTGCCCCTCCGGGTCCAATCTACTGTTGTAGATCTACTGATCTCTAAAGAGACTAATATACCTATTGTTGGTGAGAGTCGGCAAAGTACTTGATTTTCTCCTTAAGTGTGTAGTTCTCCTTTCAAAAGGGGGCATGGCAGATTCCGTTTCTTTTTCCATATTCTCCTCTAATAAGGCAACTAGGTCATTATATGCTTGCAAATCCTGTGCTTCCAATTGTAATTCTTTATTTTCATGTAAATAACGTGAATATTCCTTCCTTAAATATAGATTTAAGTCTTTATAGATTGTAAACTCATCCATCCCCTCCACTAGGGAAAAGGATAGCCCACGTTGTAACAGGCTAATGTGACTTTTATTTAAAGGAAAGGTAGATAGGTTAATCACATTATTATTTTCTTCTAGCTCACTATAGATAATTACCAGTAATTCCGCTTGCTCCTTGTTTTAAATGATGTTTTGTTCTCCTGTGGTTTCAGGATGCCTTTTCCTTCCCCATGTACTCCTATAGCTTCCCGATTTCCTTCATTTATTTTAAGTTGTTCTGGATGGTCTCTCTCCTCTAAAAAAAACTTACAGATCTTCTTTGTCCCTCTCCTTCACTTTCACTAGCTGAATATTCCTCACTGAACACTTCGTGTCATCTATATGATCTTTTCTTTCAATTACTTCTCCCTCTTTTTGATGTTAGGTCAAAAATGTCTCCCTTTTCCCAATCTTCTACATCCCTTTGATATTTTGATTGTTTAATTGACCTCAGATTTTTTTGGGTTCTTCCAACCTCTTTCCTAAGGAAGTAATTTTGTTTTTCAAAACTTGCATGCTCTTTGAATGGATCAAGTTCTTGTCTACACTCATCAATCTGTTGTTGAAGTTCTAAAAGTTGGCATTTTTCTTCCTCCACTATTAATTTCATAATTATTAATCCTTGTTGGATGCACTGTTTTTTAAAGTGACCATGAGCTTATAGCAGAATTGTAAATGCCACTGCCGTAAGGCATACTGACCTGACATATTGTGAACAGTTTTGTTCCGCTGTATGCCTTACGGTGGTGGCAGGGAAAGGATTAAAGAGCAAAAAGTTGGATAAAGAAGTTATACTTCAACCAAGTATGTGTAATTATTAGCCAAATGGCTTTCTTTATTAAATATACTACAAACAAATGAAACATGAAGAGAATATGAGCACAGCACCATCAAACTAAAACCTCTATTATAATTGGCAAACCTCTTTCTTGATGAAGAAAGAGGTTTAAGGAGCAAAGCCTGAAGTTTAGGAAACACTGCCGCATGCCTTCCACTTTACTAGGTTTGAGGCTCATCAGCCTCCCCATAGCGCAGCACTGTCAAGTCTAAGACTGAGCAGCCATTCAAAATATGTTGCCCAGCGCCCAGTGTCAACTTGGGGTGGGGTGAACTGGGGGTATGGCCGCAAGGGATCTCCATCCATACATGCATTGCTTATAGCTTCCTTGCATCTCCTGTAGTGGTGCCTAAACTGGAGTGACATCACATTCTGGCTCCCAGCACCTCTAAGGGCACAAATGGGAGCTGTACAACCAATGCACATATGGATGGAGCTCTGTCACAGCACAGCAGCCCACACTGCCGTGTGTTCCACTGCAGTGCAAATTGGATCGCAACTTAATGACAGAGGACAAATGTGGGTCCTGTGGTTACACAGGTTTAGAACCACTGCTCTACACCATCTTCCACCCAACACCTCTCTTCCATCCAAATGTGGAGATCAAGGACCACCACAGCAACACTGTCTCTGGACATGCCCTTTGGTGTCCGACTTCTGGCGACAAGTATTACTATATATCAACATCTATATATAGCAATTCTCTTGTGGCAACCTGATCTCGATTATGCACTTTGTTTGTTTGGTTTCTTTGACGCATCCATAGGAATCCAGGACTCCTCCAACTACATAGGTCTGGAGTGCCTACATATATGTCTTCTCGTAGCCAGAAGATGTCTCATGAGACACTGGAATACCCAGGTACAAGAACTTATTGGTGACCTAAAATTATTACTGTATGAAGAAGAAATGGATATGGAAATGCAAAAAAGACTCTCGTACTAGGTTCTTTTTTCGCAGATGGAAATGTTTTATTAGCAAATCTTTTACCGTTTCAGAAGTAACTCAAATTGTAAAGCCCTTTTGGTACACTAGCTGGTTTTTGAAAGCAGATATGTTGAATGCCTTGGAGGATCTGCACATGGTTTCAGACAGAGATATCCTCTTAGCTGATATCCTCTGCAGATTTTACAGGTAGTTAATTTCTATTAGCACTTATATATGTTTTTATTTGAAGGGGATTTATGTATGAAAAGGATTTGAATAACATGTACACATTGGATGTGATAACACCACTTGTTTGGTTTTTATTGTAAAATGTTGGAAAGAAATAAAAACTTTTCTGAAAAAACAGACAAACAGTTTGTTACAAAGATCACAACGGGCTTTTTAAGCACCCATACGACCACCGGTAGTGGTAGACATATAAAGGCAGCATGAATATATACTATCAGCCACGCTACTATCGGAGAGTGGTCCTGGACGCTGGATGGGATGCTGTGGATGAAACTTTGAGCCTAATACTGTTTGACAGTCGAATGAGAACATATGGGCTGACCAGATATCAGTTCAATCAGGAGGTTGTAGCTCTTATTATTGTTGTAGACTTCAATTTGATATAAGGGTACCCTGTATATGCTGGTTCCTCTATATATGTTGTCTGTATTCTCTATACTTGTTCCTGGGGGCCATATTCCAGATTGGTAGGTGCATGCTATTGTTTATAGATATAAAGCCACATAATTATATATATATATATATTATGTAAATGTTTATAAAAAATAAAAATAAAATATTTGAAAAATGTGAAAAAATGTAAAAAAACAAAAACATTTTCGGTTTCGGCCTGACAATTTTTTTATTTCTGTTTCGTTTCGGTGTTTACATTTCTATTTCGGTGCACCTCTAGTTATTATGCCACTGTATGTGTCCCTCTGCACTAAAGCTGGCCATACGCTACTACAAGCTGGGTTCGGCGGACAGGGGCGTGAAGCAGGCGGGGTAGAGGTGGGATGGGGCGGGGTCTAATACCGCTAGGGACTGGGCCCCTAGCGGTATTAAAGTACTAGAAATACAATGCCTTTATAATAAAGGCATTGTATTTCTAGTACTTTAATACAGCCTCATATCAGTTATCGGCTGAAAATGGCACTTTTGGCTAACTGCCAAAAGTGCAATTTTTCTGACGATACAGCGGTGTGTGATCAGAGACAGCCTGCACTGTCACAGGAGGCTGAGCTCTCCTCCCTGCACCGCTCGCTCAGCCTGCTGTGACAGCTGTCAGGATGGAGAGCCAGTACAAACACTCAGTGATCGCTGAGTGTTTGTACATAATTGAGGACATGGTATCGTTACTAAAGCCTCAATTATGCATGAATGGGAAGCGATCTACATCACCTCCTGTTCATTCATGATTGTGGTTATAGTAAACATACTATGTTCTCAAGTTATCAATGAACAGGAACACTCAGAGGATTCCTGTTCATTGATAACTGGGGCTGCAGATAAAGAGATTGAGTACTTTGTGTCCTCAATCTCTTTCTATTTTAGACCCCTAATATTTCCCCAAGCCCCTAAAAGTAAAAAATAAAAGTATTTAATAAAAAATGAATTAATACAAATAAATATTAAAAAATGTAAATGTTTATAAAAAATAAAAATAAAATATTTGAAAAATGTGAAAAAATGTAAAAAAACAAAAACATTTTCGGTTTCGGCCTGACAATTTTTTTATTTCTGTTTCGTTTCGGTGTTTACATTTCTATTTCGGTGCACCTCTAGTTATTATGCCACTGTATGTGTCCCTCTGCACTAAAGCTGGCCATACGCTACTACAAGCTGGGTTCGGCGGACAGGGGCGTGAAGCAGGCGGGGTAGAGGTGGGATGGGGCGGGGTCTAATACCGCTAGGGACTGGGCCCCTAGCGGTATTAAAGTACTAGAAATACAATGCCTTTATTTTGCCCAACTGTATATAGGCAAGACTGCAGTGTCATGATGATTCTTTTGATGGGTTTCTAGGGGGCTGCAGAAAGTATGTCCTGGCGCACACATGCCTGTTTTGACGCTCCGACATATATGCTTTTGAACTTGTAGACGTGGGGTATTGATGTTTTTGAATTAAGCCATAAATAAATATTTATGGTTAACTCTAAATTGATGACCTGTACAGGCTTTTAACCCTTTCACAGTCATGAACGTACCTAGTACGTCATTGGCAACACGGCCCTATAAACAGGCAGCTTTATCCGCCAGGACTGTGTTTACCTTTCTAAAGCCGGCTGCTGGCTTTACAATAGAAACAATTCTGGCAGCTCAGCTGGGGCTTTTAAAGTGTCATCTATGGACTTTTTGGGGTACAGAATTTTGTCGCCGTTTCACGGGTGCAAGCAATTTGTAACAAATATAGGTATTTTATGGTGTTTTTGAGCACTAAAATAACTTAAGTGCATTTTTTACTAAATTTGTAGGTTTGATAAAGAGTTGCGTCAGCATAAAAATGCCACCATTTTATTCTACAGGGTGTTGGGTTTCAAAAAATATATAATATTTTGGGGGTTTGAAGGAATTTTCAGGCCTAAAATGTAGATTATAGCATGTGTGCAAAAACCGAAAAAAGGCCTTGGCCGTGAAAGGGTTAAAGCATCGCCTAGGGACATTTTGGAGTACCGTATGTTTTTAGCCATTTCCCGGATGCACACAGTTTTTAAACTTGGCATGTTGGTTATCTATTAACTAAGCACAACTTCCTTTTTTAAATTTTACAAACAAATGGGTAATACATTGTGTTTTTGTGTACTAAGACTAACTTGTGTATTATTTTCTGAAAACATGGGTTTGATAAACAGTTGCGCTAATACCATGCGACATAAAAATTTGCAATGGCACCATTTTATTCTACAGGGTCTTTGATCTCAGAAAATATATAATGTTGTGGGTTTTCAGTAGTTCCCAGGCCTAAAATATGGATTTTAACATTTGTGCAAAAAATAGCTCAATTGGGTTAAGATATACAGGTATAAGGATTGCTTATGAAATATGGTAAAATGCATACTCAGACTAACCTTTCATAGAACCATCTTGCTTTAGGGATCGTGATGCTGCCAGTCCTGTTGCCCATAAAAGATCTGATCGGATTCCTAAGCTCCGGGTTCCTTTAGGGGATGTGTCCAGTTTAGCACCAGAAACACTTTAAGATAGGCAGAAGAGAAAATCAGATAGTGGGAAATAAAGGTGAAAGGTGTCTCTGCTATATAGAGATGTCTTACCTCACTTTGCGATATTCATTGAGTTTTTCTTTGATTAAAGCATGGCTAGCAAAGCTGGGGTCCTTGGGGGAATGAAGTAAAAAAACTCAAATTATTATTTCTCAAAGAATATCAGAGAGATTAGCATCCACTCTGGTAATAACTTTGCCTATAGATATGTGCAACTTCACCTATTTCTTATTGTTACCATGACACATAACATACTATATATATACACTGAGTGGCCAGTTTATTATGACCACCTGACGTTTGTAGGCAAATTGGCTATAATTTCATGCTGAAGTTGCTAGAGGGCCAGACCATTATAAATTCAACGTCAGCACGAAATGATAGCTAATTCAGGGGTGTGGACATTTTTGAAAAAACTACTTGTCCAAGGGCTAAAGCGGGGGCCAAATCTACTTGTTCTTCATAACAATCTACTTGTCCAATACAAAAAAAATTAGTTTTAATTAAGACTAGGGATGCACCAATACCGTTTTTTGGGTATAGAGTACGAGTACCGATATTTTGCTTTTCGGTACTCACCGAGCATCGGTGATTCCTTTTGCAAGGAGCAGGCTTCCCAGGCAATCAGGAAGCCGGGCAGCGGGTAATGAGATGCTACCCTATATTGGAGGAGGTATCGAGCATTTGGGCGAGTACAAGTACTTGCCCAAATACTCTGTATCTGTGCATCCCTAATCAAAACTGTATTGGTCTGTGCTAAATAGCACTTCTCATTGGTCAGCGTTGTCACCAGACCACGCTGACCAATGAGTGCTTGTAATTTGCGAGCGAAATTCAAAATGCATAGGGCAGGACTGCGCTGGACAATACCACCTGTACCGGCGGAGGGTAAGGACTGTTTGCCGAAAGGTAAGTATAGCCGGGGGCCAGATTTGATCGGGTAATTCCATTTTCCCATATTACCTGGGAAAGTGAACTTGCCCTTTAATGCACATTGTGCGTGTGGGAGAGTTCTGCTGCCTCACTACCACAATATGGCACAGTGAAATGGCGGCAGCACTCAACGCACACACACACAATGTCCTATGCGTGCGTTTATTTGCATGCAGATGGAGGGGGCAGCGGGGTTTATTTTTTTTTTTTTTTACATTGTCACTTTTAAAAAAAAATTTACGGTCTCAGTGATAACACAGAGCAGACGAAAAACTGACGTTTTTCGTCTGCTCTGCGAGCTCTATGGTGAGCTCATGTTCCGTGGTCTCGGGTCCGCCAGAGGAGCGGGGGACCCCGAAAACCACGGGGGGGAACGAGAAGCGGGACAGAATCGCCGCTTCTCGTTTCATACAAGTGATCAAATCACTTGAAAACGAGCGGCGGCTCTACACTGTACACTTAGCTCTACTTGTCCGGAGTGTAAAAAAAAACTACTCGCCCGGCGCCCGAAACTGCATGTCCCGGGCGTCGGGCGATAGGAATTCCACACCCCTGGCTAATTATAGCTAATTTGCCTACAAACGTCAGGTGGTCATAATAATCTGGGAGAAAACAAAAGAGAAGGGCGCCCACCCTAGTGTAGATTGTTTTTAATGATAAAAGCTGCAATACAGGATAAAAACATACTCACAATAGTGAATCAGAGTAAAAGCTTTCAAGCCAAGCCTGGACAACATCTAAAATGGGCTGCACAGTCACCTGTGTACCAGCACAGGACTCCTTCGTTTACGCGTTTCCGTGGCCACTCCCTCTTCGTGGCCCCCAGAGATTTGCACTGGAGACACTTGGTCTGCTCAGCCAGGCAAATGTTTGTTTGAAGGTAAACAACTGTTGACAAAATCTGGTTTCTCACAATGATAGAGTGCCTTCTAAACAGACCAAACTGTTTGTTTTTTTTATGATGGTATGGCTGCCCTGTATTGTTTCCCCATTATTCGCATCCAACTTACTCACAATGTGATATTTTTTTTAATAGGGAAACATTATGTAAACAAGCACGCCTGGGAGGATCAAGACCTAAGCTCTTTGACACGTACTGAATTGTGCCTGATACATTTCTGCGACCTAGAGGTGGAAAAAAGTGAGATAAATCTTGCGTAGGCTCTCATACAAGTCTTGAGGGGCACCGCCCACAGGTGGTCTGCCAATTTTTCTTAATAAAACCCAGCAGCTCAAAACTGAATTTGGGGACCTCAAATGGAACTTTGTTTAACCACCTCCTGTTGATGGCCGCCTTACGGGAGCGGAAGGGTGTCTGGAGCCCAGCACGCACACGAGTGGGGAAACTGTCAGCCATGTAAACAGCCAGGGATGGCTGTTTACATTCAAGCGATTGGGCGTCTCTAGAGATGCCCAACGCTTGTAGTACCTGC